TACATTCACTAAAGAATAAATTAAATTATAAGTAGAAACTCACTTTCCATAATCTGGTCCAAAAAATATTGTCGGTATGGCATCTGGGTGAAGTCGAGTTCTCATTTTATTTATCTTGTACCATTTCTCTTCAAAATGCAAATGGCACAACCGACAATTCTGGTATGCATATTCTGGATCTTTTGGTTCTAAGTTCAGCCTTTCATTCGTACTCATTGCAACCATCTACAAATTATGATATTTTATCAATAAAAATGTACATAAAATTGAAAATTGATTTATATAAAAAGTGATGAAAACAACATACCTCTCATGTTCCTTTGGAAATCGAAAAAAATAACGATCTTCTAAATTAAATTTTTTTGCATTCTGGTACTGCACACCACATATGTTTTTACTTTTATTAATTTTATATAATTATTTTTTCACAATTTTTTGGAATTGTACAGCATCTGAAACAGAGCTAAGATCAAAATGCTCTTCCAAGAGAATTGCTAACCTATATAATTATATAAGTTAACTATTCTCTCAAAAAGAAATCTTTCTTGCTCAGTTTTCTTTGTTATTTTCGTTCACTTTTTCACTTCACTTTTTTTTACTTTATCACTTTTTACTTTATCGCAAGAATTAAACCAGTCTCTCGAGGTTTCTCACACAACACTTCACCAAATGGACGATGCACGTTGTATTTCCCTCCAAATTTCTACTCTCAACCGTTCTCAACTCTTTAAATGAAACATTGAAACGGTCATTTAAATAGAGAGAGCAATAAAGAAGGAGGAAATGAGACGGGGCAACTTACTTATTTCACGCATGCGCACTCCGTTTTGGCCAACATAAAATCAGGAGAGTTGCGCTACTATATATACTGTGCCGGTGTGGTCAATGAAATACGCTATTAGTTTGTCTGATATGCTAAATCATGCTTGGTTATCCGGGTGGATATAGGAAATAAAATGGCATAGGATGGGTTGTCAGATTAGACGACATGTCACCTTTTAGGAGATTTCAAGTGCAATCTTGACGGACAAATTTTAGTTAAATTATAAGTTTGAAATATTTAAATTTTACATGTATAACAGGCTAATAATACAGTCTAATATAAATAATTTTGGACTACTTTAACTATATGTATTGGCAATGCAGATGTCATGTAATCGGTACAGTATGGTACATTATGAAAGTCGTCTAAAATCTAATAAACCTGACATGGGATCGCATGTGAAAAGATAGATAGCCAAATCTGTGAAAACATATTGTGCAAAATGTTTGTTACAAATTTTGTAGAATATCAGTAGAAATATAACAAAATCGCGATTGCTAACAAAATGTGAGAACAAATTGACTGCAAAAATTAAGCAAAATCTGTTTTTATATAATATATTCATTTAAATAATCATTTGAATAATAAATAAGATTTAAATGATTATACAAAATAATAGATAGTTATCAGATTATATCGGCAAGCTTTGCTGGAAGAAACGCAGTTGATATCAATCTGATGCAATAGTTTAATCAAATTTGTAATAAAATGCTAGCGCGCGCGCTTGTAGCTAATGTTTTATTTACTAGATATGATAGACTGAATGACATGAGAAGATAAATGAAGAGAAAAATATTTAGCATTTCTCTAGAACCGCTACCCCATACTGCTAACATTTTATTTACTGGATATGATTAGGTGGTGTAGGAAGATAAAGAAAATGAAGAGAAAAGAAATTCTTTAATATCAAACAGTATAGAGACCGACATCGAAAGACAACATAATAATGTGTTTAGTAGATCGAGATAAGCTTCATTATGTCGTTTATTTTGACATCTGCATGGAGAAAAATAATTTGCTAGCATATTTTTTGCTACTGTAGCAAAATATATCAGTTACTATGTGGACAGCAAAGAGATTCATTAAAAGTACTGATTGCTATTTGCTATAATTTAGCTAAAATTACAAATTATTTTGCTGTAAGAATAAACGAATTCTTGTTTAATCAACTAATCTTTTTTGTTGCATTACCAATACAATTTGCTACAAAAGCGAAGCACATTTGAAGAACTAGAAAGATGATTTTGTTCTACAAGCAATTTATTTGAACTACACGAGTGAATCAAATTTGCTATTGTAGCAAGATATGAGAGATTGCTAAATTAATGACATATTTTGTATGAACGAAATAACTTTGCTATAATAGCAACTTTACTTTGTTAGCAATACAACTGTACAGAATTATTCGAGAGAAGCAAATAGGCACAAATAAAAATATAACAAAAGAAAAATTAATTTTAATTGGTTTTTCTTTTATTATATTTTTATTTGCGTTTATGTGCTTCTTTCGAATAATTGTGTAAAGACTTGTAAGAAGTCAGCCCACTTTTACAATTAACTTATTTTAAAAATTGTGCTGAATTGTGCTAGGTTTGTGTTACATTGTGCCTGAATATTAAAGTCCATATATGAAAAACATATTAGATAATACTAGTTTACAAAAAAAATTTTTTTTTCAATTCCTTTGGACCAGACTACGTGTTCATAGATTTTTGGATGCTGAAAACGATGCCGCAAGCAAAAAAATTCTAGCATGTGAGATTTCCAAGATAATTGAGGTTTAATAGGTAAAAAATGTTTTTTTAGCGATATTTGATATTTTTTTTATAAAGAAGGTTGACGTTATCTTGAAATTTCGATCAGAAGTCATGAATGTTCATCTCCTGTAAAATGCATTTTTTTAAATTTCAATACCTTACTTTTTAGCCATGTTATGAAGGATTAAAGATAGGAGATATTTCAAATATGTGAGAAGTCCTGTGCTGAAGTGATACCTCCGCGTGGTATAGGATGGGTAACGCTAAAATCACTTCACACAAAACAACATCGCGTATATACACACACATAGATAGATAGAGAGAGAGAGAGAGAGAGAGAGAGAGTTGTTTTATAAAAAGATATGTAGTTGCATATTATAAATTGCATATTTTTTTTTAAAAGCAACAATATATTTTTATTACACCAGTGAATTAATCTCATAATTCTATGCATAAAAGTGTTAGGCTGTGTTCGAAAATATCACTCGTTGGTGTGCTTCGGTGACTTTAGTGGAGAAGTAGTAGAGGTATCGTGTGCCTTTGGTGGTGAGTGTTTCCGTACGATTTCTGTGTTGCGTGTGAGTGGCATGTGTATATAGGGTGATTCAGAATAATCTTTGTCTTTGCAAAGACGTGTTCCTGACTGAATTCTG